AGTTTTCAACCTTGGCAAGTTTAAGATGTGTGGATTTCAACTACCAGAATTCGCCAGCCAGCCATGAAGTCCACAAGCCTTAAAGTTGCCAAGGTTGGACAACCCTGATCTACACTGTTAATAGCAATAGCAGTTAGACTTATATACCGCGTCACAGAGTTTTACAGCCCTCTCTAAGCGGTTTACAGAGTCAGCATATGGCCCCAACAATCTGGGTCCTCATTTTACCGACCTTGGAAGGATGGAAGGCTGAGTCAACCTTCAGCCTGGTGAGATTCGAACTGCCAAATTGCAGTCAGCTGGCAGTCAGCAGAAGTAGCCTGCAGTACTGCACTCTAACCACTGCACCACCTTGGCTCATTAAGAGCATTAGTTACTTAGACCTCAGGGCGATTTGTGGTCCTGATGCCTTTTTGTGACCCCAAAATTTCTTTTGATATGATTGCTGAACATAGCTTACAGTTTCCCACATTTTAAGGCAGGAAAAAAAAAGTCCAAAATTAACTGGAAAAATATTGAATATATTGAATTTATGTAGAATAATGACATCCAGCCCCTCAATCCAGAAAAAAAAAATTACTCCTGCCAACATGCATACATCATTTCATTCTTTCTCCCCCTGAATTGCTCCACCCACCCCAGCCTGCTTATTTCAATAAAACCTAGGAATCTAAGACAGCAAACAATCAAGTCAGTCCTGCTCAGGATGACAAGAATAGAGCTAGCATTTGGCTGAGTATGCTATATGGTGGGGCAGAAATCAGTGGTGGAATTCAAATTTTTTTACTACCAGTTCGGTGGATGCACCGGCCAACTGATTTTCGGGCCTTCTGAGCCTACCAGAAGTAGGGAAACAGGCTGTTCCCTGCCTCCGGAGGGCTGGGGGGGGTAGGGAGGCCTGTTTTTCTTTCTCACCTGGCTCCAAATCCTCTCTATGCAAACAGCCTTTCCCACTCCCTTGGAGGCCCCCCGGAGGCCTGAAACGGCCCATTTCCCAACTGCCCGTTGGGACAGGAAGTGATGTTTTTTGCTGTCCCCAGCCTCCAGAGACTCCTAGAGAGTCTCCGGAGGGCCTCCAAGGAGGTGGGGAAGGCTGTTTTCGCCCTCCCCAGATGCATAGAGCGGATCTGGAGCTAGGTGAGAAAGAAAAACGGGCCTACCAGGCCATCACGTGCCAGGAGTGTGTGGGGGGGGGTGTTGCATGTGCATGCACAGGGCAGGGTGCATAGAATTATGGGTGTGGACACACGCACGCGTGAACCTTCCCCATCCCCCCCCCTCCTGGCACGTGATGGCAAAAAGGTTAGCCATCACTGATCTATAGGATGCAATGACTTTGTGCAGCAACATTATTTATAAATATACATTAGGCCTCATGTTTTATGTCCTGAAGAATAGTAATGTTTAGGTTAACAGTAAAAGCAACATTTGTGTGCTTTTCTGCATAATGTTTTTAGCATACAAGGAACTTGGCTGAAAGTTTGTAGATAAAACTATAGGGATAACTTCCAAATAAGTGCAAATGGCCACATTTGCAAATGGCCTTTAAGAACTATCTGTAAGGTACTTGGTAATTACTGAGCCAAAAAGTGATAGAAAGTAAGGAATTTCGAATACAATACATCTTTTTTAATTTAGAAGGCATTCTAAAATCAATAGGCTTAACCTTCTAATAGTGACAAGAGTGTTGAAAACTTAATCAGTGAAGATTTTGAATCCAGATCTATAATTCCACAGTTTGAAGAAGCTTAAAGAAGATAGATAGAAATTGCGATATCCAAAGGTATCTGGTTATTTGTTGATGCTTGATGCTGATTGGAGAATTAGTCTGGCACAACTTTCCCCAAGTGTACATTTGATATGTCTGGAAAAAAGCTAAGTACAATTATGCAATGAACAGAATATTTTTTCATAGCGCTTGGGTTAGCTAATTTTTTTTTTTTTTGCAGATGAATTAATTATAGCAAAAGAAGGTAAGGATATTTTAAGCATAATGGTTTTTTAATATAAAGAAAATTTTGCAAGAAAGCGATTTAATAACACCAGGATTCAAAGTATCATATTTAACTAAACCTTGTAATGCCTTACCTTGTGAAATACAGGGGAATCCAACACTCCTTGCTTTTAATAATCAAGTTTTTTTTTTAAATTTGATTTATATGCCGCCCTTCTCCGGAGACTCAGGGCGGCTTACAATGCACTAAGCAATAGCCTTCATTCTTTTGTATATTTATACAAAGTCAGCTTATTGCCCCCACAACTGGGTCCTCAATTTACCTACCTTAGAAAGGATGGAAGGCTGAGTCAACCTTGAGCCTTGGCGAGATTCGAACCTGCAGTAATTGCAGGCAGCTGTTCTTAATAACAGGGTGCTTTAGACCACTGTACTACCAAGTTAAACTGGTAGTGCTTCCATTAGCCTCTGGCCCACAGCTTTCCTTGGGTGATCAACAAAGTCAATTAGATGTTATTATTTTAATTTATTAGTGTTTATTGTATTACATGTCCAACTGCTATATGAGTACATAGTACAGCCCAGAATACATGTAAATTGGGCCAGTTATAAATATCAATAAATATAATATACATAAATAGACAAATAATTGATGTTAGGCTATAAAGTAGTCATGTTATAAGAAATTATTCATATTGCTTGCTTTTTCCTTCTAATTGTTTCCCTCAATTTTCAGGGACCCATAGCAAACTCTAAAAAAATAGTCTTTCGTAATGGTTGACCCATGAATATTTATGTCAGGATTTCCAAGCATAATAAATCCAGATGTGTTGGATTGCAATTATTACAGGCATCATGGCCAAAGGTGTTAGTTGAAGAGTCATCATTTTTCCCAGTCACAAAATGCAGACTGAAAAGGAAAGTGGAGAAAAAGAAAGAGCTACGATAAATTATATGAGAGAGAGAGAGAGAGAGAGAGGCTTTTTACTGCATTTCTGGCCTATCTCATAGTTTGGATGTACATTTTATTGGCATGATTTATTTCCATATATAGAAGTTTACATATGAATTTAGTTCAACTTTTCTTTTCTTTGTGTCTTCCAAATATGTTGGCTTTATTTGATATAATCCTCTGATGACCACTGTATACTTGCTGGAGATTAGGTTTTAAGTAGAAATCTAAACATCAGAGGATTCTAGGCTGGAGAATACAGCTGTGGTATTTTTTAAAATCCCTCTTTTCTTGGCAATATGAAACAGAGACCCAGAGAAATACAGAAACTGTACGTTTAATTGCTGGCCTTGTAATACAGCAGTTAGGATAACAAAGAATGTCAGTATCCATTCAGTCTTTGCTGATAAATAATGTTTTCAAGACTGCAGGCTTTTCAAAGCTATGCTTACCACCTACAGCAATGATTAGTAATAAAGGCAGAAATCACAGAAGAAGCTGGAACAGGGAAAATATTTTTCTGAAATTATTTGAGGCATGAAGTCTAGTCTACTGGTAGCCAGTGGTGAAATCCAATTTTTTTTACTACCGGTTCTGTGGGCATGGCTTGGTGGGCGTGGTGTGGCTTGATGGGCGTGGCTTGGTGGGCATGGCAGGGGAAGGATACTGCAAAATCTCCATTCCCACCCCACTCCTGAGGGAAGGATATTGCAAAATCTCCATTCCCACCCCACTCTGGGGCCAGCCAGAGGTGGTATTTTCCGGTTCTCTGAACTACTCAAAATTTCCGCTACCGGATCTCCAGAACCTGTCAGAACCTGCTGGATTTCAGCCCTGCTGGTGGCCCTCAACTTACATCCATTTGTTTAGTGACCATTCAAACTTACAACTGAAAAAAAGTGATTTATGACCATTGTTCATACACACAATCATTGCAGGATCACCATGGTCACATGATCAAAATTCAGACGCTTGTCAACCGGCCTGTGTTTATGATGATTGTAGTGTTATAAGGTCATGTGATTTCCTTTTGCAGCTTTCTGACAAGCAAAGTCCATGGAGAAGTCAGGTTCACTTATAACTGTGTTACTAACTTAACAACAGAAGCGCTTCACTTAATGACGGTGGCATGAAAGGTTATAAAATTGAGGCAAAACTCATTTAACATTTAATGATCTTACATAGTAACATAAATTTTGGGCTCAAGTGTGTTATAAATTGAGGATTACCTGTGTTACTATAACAGCTGGATTTGGCACCAAGGAAATTCAAGCTCTCTAAATACTTAGGTAAATGTTTTATTCTATTTTGTTTTTATAGTCAATATTTATGTACTGACACCATTCACTCAAATTTTGCTGGCAAAAGTACACAGATTCCTGCTCCAATTTCATTTACATTTTTGGAACAGTTTTTAACAATATGATATAATCTCCTCCCCACTCTTTAAATTGTCATCCAGTTTAAGGATGAAAGAATTCTCTCCTTTTGATTTATTCACTGATTCTCTGACTGGATTGTGATCTCAGGATTTCAAAAATTAACAGAAACTGGGAGACGTCCAGAGGAGGAAGATGGAAATTGTGAGAATTCTATAGAACATGAGGAAAAATGGAAGGACTTTGGCATGGTTTGCTCAGAAAAGAGGCAATTAAGAGTAAATATGATAGCTATCTTAACATATTTGAAAGTCTGTCAAGTAGATGTCTGAGGAAATATATTTTCTTTTGCTTCATTCTGAGGCCTGATACAACAGGTTCAAATTATACAAAAAGGGATTTTGGCTAAATATTAAAACTCTCTGGCAGTACAAGCTGTTTAACTATACCAACTGAAATAGGGAGGATGTGTCCATTCTTCATTAGAGGTTTCAAAGAAAGACTGAACTGCAGTTTAATATCGAATTTCTAGCACCACTAGATTGAATGCAATGACCTTCCAATTATTTAAAACCTGCCACAGCTTTCAGCAACTTGCTTATTTGTGTCTTACCCCTGTTTTAATTAAGTGCAAATGTCTCTCTGATAAAATATTGCAGAAAAACACATTTTTTCTTCCTGCCAAATTATAAAATAAAAGTACCCAGAAAAGGAATTTTGACACAATCATTTGTTTATTACATTTCTAGATTGCTACAGCAAACACAGCTTCTGACCATATGCAGGATTTGTTTCTCTTAAAAAGAGAAGACAATTTTCCAGGGAAAAATGCTTGATACAGACTGATGGGGTAATGGTCTCTAGATCCTTTCTGAACATTGTGCTTATGAAATGTAGTCATGGTAGCAGAAGGTGGTATCATGAATTTCGTTATTCTGAAATTATTATTCCCCCTTTTTGAATGTTTGGAATTTAGGAAAATTAGAAATTTGTAAAAAAAAAAAAAAAAGTCCCAGAGCTGCCATTTGAAGTAGAAATCCAGTAGATTGAGGAAATCCAGTGCAAAAGATTCCCATGTATTTTATTAAAGAGTGTTAATTATATACATACTATACATTCCTCCTCCTTTCCCTAGGTTCAGGCTGCATTGCAATGATTTTTGCCTTGTAAAAATGTTCTCCCCAACACTGCACAAAAAAGATTGCAGAGCTACATACAGTATAATAGTTTAAAAGACATAGTCATGTTGGCCTATCCGGGGGAAAAAAAACCAGGAATCCACATTATGGTAATAATACTTCTGATATTATCAAATGATGCAGAAGAAGTTGTAGAAATCTGCATCAAGGTAAGATGTTACAAGAAGTAAGAAAACCACCAAAACATGTCCTACAATAGTAGCTGAAACTTGGAATATATTGCACCTGCCGCTCGCAAATAGGTTCTGTCGACGCCTCCAATCTTAAGTCCAAATCTGAATTGCAGACCTCATGGAGACAAATTCTGAGCTTTAGAGTGTCTTGCTTCTTCCTCTATTCCTTGGTTTTTGTCACTTTTTGCTTTAGAAAGACTTTTGGAAAACCTAAATGTGGTTGACGTTTTTGTACCAGTTTGGTTAGTCTTAATAAGGAGATTAGTCACTTATGAAATTGAAATAGAATAACAGAGTTGGAAGGGAACTTGGAGGTCTTTTAGTCCAACCCCCTGCTTAGGCAGGAAACCCTTCCTCACTTCAGACAAACGGTTATCCAATCTCTTGTTAAAAACTTCCAGTGTTGGAGCATTCACAATCTCTGGAGGCAAGTTGTTCCACTGATTAATTGTTCTAACTGCCAGGAAATTTCTCCTTAGTTCTAAGTTGCTTTGCTCTTTGATAAGTTTCCACCCATTGCTTCTTATCCTACCCTCAGGTGCTTTGGAGAATAGCTTGACCCCTTTCTTTGTGGCAGCCCCTGAGATATTGGAACACTGCTATTATGTTATCCCTAGTCCTTCTTTTCATCAGACTAGTCATACCCAGTTCCAGCAACTGTTCTTTATATGTTTTAGCTTCCAGTCCCCTAATCATCTTTGTTGCTCTTCTCTGCACTCTTTCTAGAGTCTCAACATCATGGATACTATAACTTGAATCTTTGCTTTGCACTGAAATGGGAGTGAAGGAATCTATGTATTTACAGAAGGAAAGACTCAAGTTAGTATCTTGTTCTTATTGTAAACAGATATGGCCACAACAAATAATATTTAATATTGTGGTAATTACTGAAAACACATAAAGAATTATATTTACAGGCAGAATATATATTTTATGTACAAAACTACAGAATCAGAATTGGCAAAGGTCCAGTGCATTTTTATATAGTTTTACAATATGCATTTTTTTTCTCTACCTTACTTACATGGAAAGCAATAAATAGGTCTTGTAGAGCAATGGACCGAAAGACAGAAAGAGAGAGAAAAACTACAAAATTCTTTTTAGAGATAAACAGCAGGCATATAGAAAAACAACATGACAACGTGGCAAAATTACAGAGAAATGAAACAAACAGGTTTTTTCAGTGATGCATAAATGCTCCTGATTCACATCAAGTAAATCCAACTTTGTTTGGTGGTTTCTAGAATGAAACAGGAATGCTTCACATCTGAAATGAAGGAAAATTTTGAGGTAGTTTGTAGTTCAAGATGATTTTGGCTTTACTACTGTATATCAACTAGGCTGACTTTTAGGGTGCAAAACCTAAAATAATTTGCATTATTAGTCCATAATTTCAAATCTGTTTCAGAATCTTAATTAGCAGACAATTAATTGCTTGGAAAGGTGATACTGTTTCATTTGGGATGAAGGAACATTTAAGGAACCTTACATCTCTCAAATGACAGATTCCCTCAGGCTAATCTTGCAGAGGTCATACATCCACCAAAGGAAACCAAATGGAAGTTTCTAAAAGAAGGATGTAGAAATATCCCTTTTTCCTAATTGTTATTGCCCTCTGTTTGTCTATCCATCTGTGAATCTGTCTGCCTATCCGTCTATCCATCCATCGGTCTATCCATCCGTCCATCCATCTGTCCATCCGTCCATCCATCCATCCATCCATCCATCCATCCATCCAGCCAGCCAGCCACCCACCCACCCACCCACCCACCCATCCATTTCATATCTATATCTATCTATCTATATAGATCTATCTATATAGATTTATCTATCTATCTATCTATCTATCTATCTATCTATCTATCATCTATCTATCTATCTATCTATCTATCTATCTATCTATCTATCTATCATCTCCCATCCATCCACCCATCTCTTTATTGAGGTCTTTTTGAAATGACCCCTCTCCCCAAGTAATCTTATGGAGTTAATGCGAAACTCTTTGTAGTTCACTGTTTTGCATCCTCCCCGCAGAGAACCTCATATTTTCATGTTATATTTCTTTTTCTAAATGACCTTTGCATAATTACAGTAGCCCATCTCCAAGGGTACCCAGATGCTATCCATGACTGACACTGAGAATCTGCTCTGTTTTGGATTTTCTGAACTGCAAGCAGAGTCCTCTAAGGTATTTATCCACTTGCCTTTGCTTTGGGGACGCATAACAATATTTGCTCCAAACCTTTAAGCTACCTACGGAAAAGGTTATCTGCCTATTTTCAATGAAAAGCTATTGACTGCTGCTGAAAAGGAGAAATATTCATTCAGCGTTTAGCAGATAGAAATAAAATCTCGAGCATACACATTTGTTGCCTTGGCACGAGGAGGAATCGTTATGTTGCCGAGTTTTATTCCTTCCCTGGGAAGTCTGCTCTGCTAAGAAAAATGAAAACATGCACAATTTCAGTAAAGGTCCAGAGACAGTCACGCGGAAGTTTTCTGCCTTAGCCATAGGCCACTGCAGTCGGTGAAAAAGAACTCAATAAATTATTATTATTTTTTTTAAAAGGATGGCCTACATATTAATTTAGCAGAGCCACAAGGCACATTAATAGACAACTGAGTAATAAGGACAGGTACTCATTTAAGATTGTAAAGAAAAAACCCTAATTTTTTTTGCTTAAATATAGAAATATTCCACATTGTTACTCAGGAAGAGGCTGGAATAGATCCCACCAGTTTGATGACTCCCAACCCAGAAGCAACTTAATCCCAACTCTAAAGGAACCCATTGAAACCACTCTTCTAAGTCCATTGGGAAGTGCTGCAGTCTTTAGGCTGCTGTCTGATCACCAATGGGAGTACTCACATTGGTTTGAAGGATTCCAAAGGTAATGACATGCCTAAAGGCAAGTCATAGGAGGAAAGGGTCAAGAAACTGAACATGCCTAGCCCAGAAGGAAAATAAAGATTAATGGGGAACAGCAGTAGTTTAAAATATGCAGGAGATGAAAAACAGAATATAAACATCATGCTAAAATATACTGTATTTTTGGAGTATAAGATGCACCTAGCTTTTGGGGAGGAAAACAAGAAAAAAAAAATCTGCCTCTGCCTCCCAGCAGTTTGCCTCCTTGCAGCAAACGGCAAACAGCCTGGTCAGCTTCAGTACAGCCTGATTTAGCATGAGCATCTGATTGGCAATTGATCAGCCTTCCGGAATGCCACCTATCAGATGTTCCAGGCTGCGGGGCTCACCACTGCCCATCGCCGCCTCCTTGTGCCCCATTTCGGCCTCTGGGCGTCCCATTTTCAGCCTCTGCACATCCCATTTTTGGTCCGTTCCAGGTGGGGGCTGAAAATGGGATGCACGGAGGCCGAAAATGGGGCACGTGGAGGCAGCAATAAGTGGCAGCGGCGATGGGCGGCAATGGTGGCAATGGGTGGTGGCGATCCCCGCAGCCTGGAACAGCTGATAGGCAGTATTCCGGGAGGCAGTTCCAACCGCCAATCAGCTGCTCGTGCTAAATCAGGCTGTGCTGAAGCTGACCAAGCTGTTTGCTGTTTGCTGCAAGGAGGCAAATTGCTGGGAGGCAGATGCTGAAGGGTGGGGGCTGGCGGGTGGGCAGGGCTTCAGCAACATTCACTGTATAAGATGCACAGACATTTCCACTCACTTTTTTTGGGGGGGGGGGAAGTGCATCTTATACACCGAAAAATACGGTAATTATGCAAAATTTCAAAAACTTTAAAAAACTACTAAGAATCATTGATCTGTTGAATCATAATTAGAGAATACAGAATCTACAGTCCACAATAAACTGGATTATTAACAGGGAATGTGGAGGTGGGTTGCAGTTCTTTTTTCTCTTAATATGGGCTTCTAAGTTCAACCAAGGGAAAATAGACTGGAAAATAGATTGTGGTTAAGCGGCCACTGTATAGTTTAATATATACAGTAGCCTCCCCAGACTGAAGTCCCTCTGCCCCATATCCTGATTTTAACTTTTGGACTTCAGAACAATGGTCATTCTACTTTTAAAATGCTGGGAACCAAAGTTAACACCTGAAGAGTTGCTCTTCATCCTGAAGATGACTTTGCCAATTAAATCCAAGTTCTTTTGGACCAAAGAGCAGCTATATGAATCAATGCAGAAATAATCCTCAACTGTGGTGAAACAATCTTATTTTCCTGTTACATGTCACATCTAATCCCACCGGACTATAATTTTGTTGCCCATCTTTTTTGCATTTCTGTTTCATAAAACAGCTGTTCCCTGGGTACTCAGTTTTGACATCTGAAGGAGGGAGGCTCATTTCCTTCAGAAAAGTTGGATAAAGGTAAATGTGATTACATATATGAGAGAAAAATCTCAGGGGAGATTTGGAGACTAGAGAATTTTTTTTTTTACTTTTTGGGCTTTTTAAAAACTGAATATTTCACAAGATCAGAAAGGGCAAAGTGGATTTCATGCTTATGGAAATGTGTGAACTGAAAGTGCATTAAAGTTTTGAAAAGCCAACTGCAAAAAGTGTATTAAATATGAATCAAATTAACTAGTGTGAGAGAGAAGAGAAAAAAAATAATGTTCCTAAAGTACCAATGGCTCAGATGTATTCCAAATATAGGATGCATACAACACGGTTCAGTAGTGGGTTTATTGAGCATTTGCTCAGCAGAAGAAAACTTTATAGTCAGATTGGAAAATTTAGAAGCCTTCTGAGGCCCTGAAGCTCTCTTTTCCATTTATTACTTTTTTAAAAAAACTGCCAATGTTATCTATCTTTTATGCCAAGTTTGAAAACATTATGTCTAAAAACAGTTTGATAATTTTATACCTGTGGTTTTCAAACTGTTTTATCAAATCTAGGTGTTTTTTTTTTTTTTTTTAAAAACAGAGTTTATTTATAAGTGAAAAATCTCTAATGACAATATGTGATATAAATGGTTTATAACAGGGGTGTCAAACTCAATTTCATTGAGGGCCACATCAGGGTTGTGTTTGACCTTGTGGGGGTGGGATGGGCATAGCCAGAGTGGGCATGGCCAGGTCAACATAATTCGTGTCAGGGGCACCTGTGGTAACCAAATGCTAAGGCAGGACTTTCCTCAGATCCTCCCTCACTCTCATTATAATCTCATTATAAACGGGGCCCGGAGAGCCGTGACCAAAAATGGGGGTGGTCCTTTGCTTTTTCTAGGGTGGGCCTTACATAAGAGGCATAATCATATCCAAAGGGGGGGAAAATGCACAGCCCTAACAATCTGTTAAAATAAAAAGGTCAAACTCAACAACACTGAAGAAGGGTTCTCTAAATAAAAAAATGCATGAACAAAATGATACCAAAAAAAGTTGCTTTGGCTGCTTGTTCAGTATTCAGTATTCAGAATACTTATTCAACTATTCTGAACAAGCAGCTAAAGCAACTTTTTTTGTTATCATTTTGTCCATGCATTTTTTATTTAGAGAAGCTTTCTTCAGTGTTGATGAGATTGATCTTATCTTAATAGATTGTTAGGGCTGTGCATTTTTTGAACTTGATTCAATGGATCAATGGATCCTTCTCATTTACATTAAGGATCTGGCTCCTCAAAGCAGTGGCATCTTTTATTCCACACTTGTGAAGAAGCCCAAAACTAATTGGGTTGATTTAATGAATAACAGACATATGCTAGTCTCATACAAGGTTCCAATCTTTTTCAAGCAAGCATAGCCTTTTTTGTAAATACCGGTCTAATAGTCTGTCAAACTCTGGCTGAATGCTTAAAAGCTTGGTCTTAAATTCTCAACCTGACCAGTAATGAATAAGCATGACTTACCTGAGTCTGAAGAAGTTGTCTTAACAGAAATGAGTTTCACATTCTCTTTATCCGATGGGGCTCTGTTGGGAGGTGTTGTATGATTGACAAATGTCTCATGATGGCAAAGGATACATGATATGGAAATGGATATAGGATGATACAGGACAGGAGAATTGATAGACTGTTGGCTGGATCTAACATGTAGCTTTTCCTGCCTGGCTCTGCTTCTTCTCTGACATCCTAGGTAGAGGCAGATGTAGGGTCTCCTGCTTGGGCAGGGGGTTGGACTAGATGACCTGCAAGGTCCCTTCCAACTCTGTTAATCTATTTTATCCTCACATTTTGTTTACTCTCACTCTTTTATAGGAGACTGAACTATCAAGGCTGATTTACTTCAACCTTGGTGATGGAATACAGATAGTTTTCAACTTATGGCTATCCAATTTAATGACTATTCAAAATTATAGCAGTGCTGAAAAAGTTACAGGTCCTTGCACTTGTGACTGTTGTAGTGTCCCTGTCATCAAGATTCGTGTACTTGGCAACTGGCATGTATTCATGACAGTTGCAACGTCACGTAATTGCCATTTACAAACTTAACATGGAGCTTCCAAAAGGCTAAGTCAATGGGGAAAGCCAGATTCACATGAGTTGCTTAATGACCACGGAATAAAGGTCACAAAATCAGGTGTGACTTGCTTAATGTCTGCATCACTTAGCAGCAGAGGTTCCCATCCCAAGTACCCAATTGTGGTTGGGTACTTGGCAAGTAAGCTGAGGACTGTAGCATCCTTTATCATGTCTAACAGCAGTTGGCCAATTCAAAGGATCCAAGCGAGCCAGATGGACACTGAGCTGTGCAAATGGCTTGGCAATTTGGGAGGAACAACAAAGCCACTACCGCTGAGCGGCTGCAATTGCACACTATTGCCCATTGCCCCATTTTGTCTAGAATAAGAAATGCAAGTAAGCCACCATTGGAAAGGGCAATTCCATCAAGGCTTCTTTCAGATTCAAATTTTCACAGATATGATCGATTTGGTCCTTCTCAGCTTCAGTTCAAGTCCAATTCACTGAACACTGGGAATTCTTGTGTATTTTGATGCACATGTGTACTTTTCTTTAATACAAACAATTTTCACAGTGCAAGTCAGACTGTACACTGTTTTCATGAATACGTACATTTGATTGGAGTCTTTTTTCCAATATATTTTTTTAAATACCCTGTTTCCCCGAAAACAAGACATCACCTGATAATAAGCCCAATCAGGCTTTTGAGCGTGTGCGCTAAAATAAGCCCCCCCTGAAAATAAGCCCTCCCTGAAAATATTTAAATGCATATGCAGCTGGTCCCCGCCATTTCCTCTGGTTAGGATTAGGGAAACAGAGCTGGAAATCAGGTAAAATGGCAAGAGGAGCCCCGTTTTGCTCCACACCCCAAAATAATAAGACCTCCCCAAAAATAAGGCCAAGCGCTTATTTCGGGATTCAAAAAAATATAAGACAGGGTCTTATTTTTGGGGAAACATGGTAATGAGAAATTATATTAGAAAATTTGATTCTGCATATTGGTTTAAAAAAAGTAAAATTAGGTATGTTTTCATTCAAACATGTATTAAGTTAATTTCTCCCTTTTCCTGCTGGAAAATATAGCTACATCTTGTTCTCTCTGTCACCTCGCTTGTCCTCCCTGGAGTGAATGTGTCAGGAAATTTGGGTTTTTTTGTCTTTGTGGACAACTGATTGGATTTGCGCTGGACTGGAAAAACAAAGAACACCTAGCAAAGAATCCTAAACCTGGCTCCTATCCCAGGAATATATTTTTTTTAGAAAAACCAAATTCCTATTTCCATGGCCAGCATAAAAAGACAAAGAATTACATCTTACTCCCAATGGGAAGTAGGAGAGGAACAGTGATCTGTTCCAACACAGATTTATTGAGAAGAATTGCTTAATTCAGAGAAATGTGACTGAATTTATTTGAAAAGCATTAGATTGCAATCTGAGGAGTTTGGGAAAGCCTTAGCAACTTGCACCTGACTTTCCCCAAATATAAATAATGACAGTAACAGAACATGGTCGCAATTGCACACTTTCTTTGTCAATATTACATAAAACTGCAGCTCTATATTCTCTAAACTGGAGAGTGCTGGGGAATGGGGATGAAATCCAAACCTAGTTGAAAGCCAAGCCAAGCAAAATATATTCATTACCTCATTTGGAGAATATGGTTTTAAAAGATTGCCTTGAAGGTTTTCCAGAGGTAAATGAATGAGCTCAAAGAGGATTTCAAAAATGATATAATTGTTTTTACAGATGTCAGTTTGGTATGTGGGTCAACAGTAAAGACCCTGCTGAAACTTTCAAAAACAACTACCTGGATTAGTAAATCAACAGTTTAAATTAAAACAATTACACTTAGGTCTGTGCAAATTTGAATTTTTGGATCAGTATCCAAACAAAGAAAGAATAAGCCCAAGTCTGGACAAGATAAGTATTGCTACAGAAATGGAAATGCTTTCTAGTGTTCTTAAAGTTCAGAGTGAAATGGTATAATAAATGAGTTCAGATGGTCAGCAAACAAGTTTACAAGCACTAAACATCTTTGGTGAATTACCAAAGAGCTATGCCCTGAGTGACAGGCTGTTTTTAAGACAATGAAAAAAATTGTCTCAACTTCTCTTATCCTGAAATGTTAGAGTTCAAATAATGGTATGGTGGTAACTATAGATAATACCTGTGCTGAGTGCTGAGTCAGTAATATAATTTAGGCAGTTTACTGCTATAACTAAAGTTGTGGAGAGGGATTCCTTGAAAATCTATTTATCTGTGGCTTGAGAAATGGGATAGTTTTTCTGAACTCTTTCAGTGACAAAGTGTGGAGACAAATTCTCTAGCATTTTCTCACAAATGGGGGAGAATACCAACAAAGGGGGCGATAAAATTGTCCCTTCTTATTTATTAAATTTATGTGTCACCCATCTCACTATCCAAAGCAAATCTGGATGACTTCTTTAGCTGCAAATAATAGTAATACTCTGCTCTTTGTATCCTGAAAATCGTAGTTGTCTTATTTACTTATTTGCTTGTTTACTTATTTATTTATTTATATCCCACCTTTATTATTTTTACAAATAACTCAAGGTGGTGAACATATCCAAAACTGCTTCCTCTTCCCATTTTCCCCACAACAAATCTGTGAGGTATTATATACACACACAGAATAAAACATTTGGATGAAATTTCACCAAGTTACATTTTCTGAGGGGTGTGTGTGTGTGTGTGTGTGTGTGTGTGTGTGTGTGTGTGTGTGGTGGTGGTAGTTTTAAAAGAGTTTTTAAGGATTGCACCAAGTAGAATAATGACTATGAGTGCAGCTTGGTCACACACTGAGAATCAAAGTACACATGAGAGAGATTGTAGCTGACTTGAAACTCCACAGAGTATCTGCATGCAAGTTATGTAACCTTAATTCCCACATTCTACCTTTTCATTCTCAAAATTACATTCATCTGGAAGAAATGGGACTTGACTGTTGAAAGATAAACGTAGAAGGCTAGAAGGTCAGGTGAATACAACTCTTTTCAAAACTGGGTTGTTAAAGAAACTGTAACCTAACGTGTTTAACGTGTTTTAACATAAATGAACAAAATGGATTGAAGAAAAGGGAAAAAACTTACTGTTCAGTTCCATTCTCTTGCCTCTCTGGAAGGAATTTAAATTCACATTATCTTTCTAGTCCACCATGATAAGTCACGTCATCTTTCTACATTTCTAGTTCAACATGATATGGCAGAGATCTTTTTCTTTTATGTATCAGGATTTTTGCCCTTATTATATAGAGACTCTTGAAATACAAAAATTGAGTGTGATCTAAAAACAGTAATAATTTTCAAAGGTTTTATAGATGACTATTCTGAAGCAATTTGAATCTAATTATAATTTATTCCAAGAAGATTTAGAACTGATTCCAATTGATACAGAATTGTTTAATTCTGTAATGCAAAACCAGATGCCCTCATCCTATGTTAATTTTTTTAACAGTTGTTCTTGTAAATGGTATCAGCAACCGAAATCTAATCTGTGAAACATGCAAGACACATAGCAGTCTTTAGTAACAGATGCTACTGTTCAATTTCTATAACTTTATAAGAAAGTTTTTCTAGCAGATTTCTTAAGAGTAGGTTGGAAGGGCAATGAGGCTGTCCCCTTAAGAGTTTGTAGGCTAGCAATAGTAATAGTACTTAGACTTATAGACCGCTTTACAGTGCATATTGCCCCCAACAATCTGGCTCCTCATTTTACCCACCTCGGAAGGATGGAAGGCTGAGTCAACCTTGAGCCTAGTGAGATTTGAACTGCCAAATTGCAGGCAGCAGAAGTAGCCTGCAGTACTGCACTCTAACCACTGCATCATCAAGGCTCATGAACTTTAGCTTTAGGGTTCTAGATCTTCTTTCACCTAATCTCAGAAGCACTTTAAGAGAGAGATCAGGTTAGATTTCTAGCAAATAAAAGCTGAGACTACTAGACGTGAAAGGGCTTTTTACCTCATTGAATCCAACTTCCTCCTCTATGTAAGAGTTCAGAGTAAAGGTTCCCCAATAGATTGTTATTCAGTATGTCATAAACACATTGTCCTATGTCTTATATTCTGCAACAATTAAGAACAGTTTTTACCTTCCATATTATAATCTCCTAGATATTTAAAGAGTGCTATAATGTCCCTTGATCTTCTTTCTCATCGCTAAATATTGTTAGCACCTATAGTTTTAAGTTTATGTTTCCTTGATCATTCTTCTTACCATCTCTGTCTGAACCTGTTCCATGAATGAATTGTATCTTAAAAGCAGTACATGCAGAACTGCCTGTCATACTTGTGATGGGATCCCACCAAAGTAGAACCAAGTAAAAAGAATTACATTTCACACAAAATCTGGAAACTATTTTTTTAAAGCAGCCACCAAAGATTGTGGACTCATGTTCAGTTGACATCTAAAATACTTTCTCAAACACTGTAATGCAAAGCCAGATACCCTCATCCTATGTCTGCGTATTTCATTTTGTCATATACATTTTAATTTTTTTAGAGAATACATACACACCTGGCGTTGTCTTCAAGCACATTCGGTACAAAGCCATTAAAAGGAATACGATGACACTTATTACTATTAGGGCAATGACAACTGGCAAAATTATACCTGTATGTAATGAAAGTATTTATTTTATTTCATACGCTTTATGACACCTGCACATCTTAACAGTAGGTATAAAAATATGACCATCTTTCTCAAGCACCCTTGATACCTTTTCTTTGAGAATTCTGGAAAAACTTAGTTCTAGTACTACCATAAGCCTAGTAGTTATGGTAGTACTACATACTACTAGATACTACTACGGTATGGTAGTTTATGGGCTTATGGTAGTTCTAGTACTACCATAAGCCCAAAGCCAGATGGATGACCTTGAGTTAGTCATTGTCTCTCAGCCTTAGGAAGGAAGCAATGCAAACCTGAACTTGTCGATCAGAAAGGTCGGCAGTTCGGTGGTTCGAATCCCTAGTACAGGTCTCCTGCATGAGCAGGGGGCTGGACTAGATGACCTCCAAGTTCCCTTCTAACTCTGTTACTGTTACTTCTGAAATCTTGCTAAGGAAACTGGAGAGAATATCCAGCACTGACTTGAAGGCATCCTTAAAAATCAATTTGTTATGCTTTCCTTTCTATATTTCAGCATAACCACTAGGTGGCAGGCAAAGAGCCTTAATGAAAGGGAGGGGGGTGGGAAATCTGTTTTCTTGTCCTGCTCAAAAGTCTCTGCAGTAAATAGCAGTATCTTGACTTCCAGAATTTAAGCTCAAGATGGTGTCCGTCCCCCAGTAATCAGAAGAACAAATTACAAATGGGAATGTATATCTCTTCCTCAGCATAATTCTAGTTTCTGCAAATAGGTTTAAGGTTCTCTCTCTCTCTCTCTGTGCCTAGACTTACGACCACAATTAAGCCCAAAATTTCTGTTGTTAAGTGAGAAATTTGTTCAGTGAGTTTTGCCCCATTTTACGACTTTTCTTGCCACCGTTGTTAAGTGAACCCCTGCAGTTGATAAGTTCATAACCCGGTTGTTAAGTGAATATGGCCTTCCCATTAACTTTGCTTGTGAGAAGATGACTTTGGGACACAGCAATGATCATAAATAAATATGAACCAGTTGCCAAGCCTCTGAATTCTGATCCCCATGATCATGGGGAAGGCGCAAAAGGTCATAACTGTGAAAAATGGTCGCAAGTCACAGTGCTGACTTTGAATGGTCACTAAATGAACTGTTGTAAGTGGAGGACTACCTGTATGGATTTTAAGTGCCCCATTACTTTCTAGCAGCTGATGTTTTTACTACCAATATATACTAGGATAGAGTTATTGATGAGAACACTAGATCTTAGACAGTAACAGAGTTGGAAGGGATCTTGGAGGTTATCTAGTCCAACCCCCTGTTCACGCAGGAGACCTATACTACCTTGTTTTCCTTGAAACTCTACCCATATCTCTGACTTTGCTCTTTACTGGCAAAGTTTGGGGGCAACTCTTTACATCCTCTTTTGCAAAGAATTTGTCTATCCAAGATGTTCATCTATCCCTTCATTATGCTGAGTTATATACTACCTGTTTATAAATTATAAGATATTTTATATATGTTTACCCATGTGATTCAGCATATGTACATTTTATATCAAGTAAGATCTCCTTTTCGTATGCTATTTTAGTCTTGCAAAACCTATTTTTCGGGTGATACCTTTCAGCTTAAGAAAAATTGCTGCAAAGTGCAAATCTATAATTCCTATTCGAGCTGTTTAATTATTATGGAAGGACTTGAATTTTTTTGTTTTGTTTTGTTTCCCTATGTCTTCCTTTTAAAGAAGAGAATTATAGTAATTCATGCTTTCTGAATCAGTTTTCTTCATTCTGGTAGATGTTTTAATGAGGGTCTGATGCTACTGAAGTATGAAGATGAAAATTCTCAGTCATCCAGGTAAGGTTGTCTGAAGGTTGCGTCATGGCAACTGGATTCATTTTCCTTGTTAGTTTGAGACGTTTTGCTGCTCATCCAAGCAGCTTCATCAATCAAAGAAAGCTAGTTAGGCTGAGAGTTGTTGGAAGGTACCAACTACCCCAGTGGTGGGTTGCTCCTGGTTCTGTCTGGTTCTATAGAACCGGTAGTAAAACTGGCGGGAGGCTCTGCCCACCCGGCACGAGGTCATCATTGGTGATCTGCGCATGCACAGAAGCTTCTGCGCACGTGGAAAAGAGTGCGTGAGAGCGCAAGCAAAGCAAGCGTGCACGCGCAATCCCGCTCGAACCGGTAGTAAAGGTAAGTGGAACCCACCCCTGAACTACCCCTTCATTAAGCTCAGGGGATTTCCTCCTCAAAGTGCATTGCAATATCTTGATGAAGATACCGAAGTGAGTATCAAACACAACTACATAGCTGTCTATTTTCTTTTATAGATAAAAAAAAACCCCCAGATATATCTTATTAAGGAGTTGTGTTTATTATTAATCACATTGCATCACATACCTTTTAAATAAAATCTCAAGCAGATGCTTTACCCTGAATGATAATTTTATAGCTCTTGGGCAAACTTATTCTAGTGCTTGTTCTCTTCAAAGATTGGGATGATCCAATTTTTCCTTTATCTGAAAGTATTCTAAAGGCAAAAGCTCAGAGGTGAACATTGTTAATTTTATGCTAATTGCATTCTATTTCTCTTTTGGAGAGTCTAAAGACACTCACAAGTAGCTAGCAGGGAAGTGGGCAGGTACATATTTGATGCAAGGTCTGCAGTCCAGCAAATGCAACAATTTCATTTCAAGCCATAATTTTTGTAAAAAAAAAAAATTGTTTGTGAAAACTTGAGAGAAGAGACCATGGACCATATTTACTTACCAATGTAAGAAGCATCATCTTGCTTTTCCTGATTAGTTATTCCTGAATTGTCTATGAGAAAAGAAATTGTCACGTTTATTGTTCCCTGTAGGTTTTTTGGGTTGGTTTTTTTTTTTTTTGCTTTTAGTGATCAACTAGCAGTTGAATTAATTGTAGTTTTCTTGGCTTTCTTAATGTTTCTTTACTGTACACTTCATGTCCCATTTCTGAACCATATGGAAATAATTTTGCATCTCTCCCTTTTGCTAGGGTCTGTGTGCAAAATTTAATAGCAGAAGATAAAATGAGTTTGCCATGTAAGCCTTAATGTTTCAGCCATAGATCTATAGTAATGTGAAAATTGCAGAATGATCAATCAATCGGAATAGAACTGGAAGGAACCTCGGAGGTCTTCTAGTCTAACCCCCTCTTCAAGCAGGAGAACCTATATAATTTCAGATAGATAAGTCCAGTCTTTTCTTAAAAACCCCCAATAATGAAGCCCTTAAACAGGGCCGGATTTAGATGAAAAGAGGCCCTAGGCTATTCCACTTATGAGGCCCTTTCACCTATAGTGAAAGTGTAATTTTAATTTTGCTAACAATTTGAATATAGGGAATGTAGGCCCCTCTTGATCTTGAGGCCCTAGGCTGAAGCCTAGTTAGCCTATAGGAAAATCCGGCCCTGCCCTTAAAACTTCTGAAGGCAAGCTGTTCCACACTGGTTAATTGTTCTATTAGGAAGTTTCTCCTTAATTCCAGGTTGCTTTTCCCTTTGATTAGTTTCCATCCATTGTTTCTTGTTTTGCCTTGACCTCCCTCTCCTTTTGGCAGCTCCTCAAATACTGGAATACAGCTATCATCTTGAGATAAAGCAGAAACAAATGCAAATTCTTCTTCCTTTAGATAACAAAAATCAAACGCACAGGTATGGACTGAGGAACATAGATTTATCAATTTATACCAGTGCATTGCTTAGCAACAGCAATCCTGACAGTCAGGATTGCCCTTGTAACCTCAGGACCATGTGAGTCAGTAAGTGGGCTGAGGCAGGAGTTCCAGGCAAGGAGGTAGGAGGTGGGGGTATGATGGGCAGGTGCTATGGAGACTGGTAAATTAGCAGAGATTGTGTGTGGGTCATTGAAGGCCTTGGGGCAGACAGCAGAGACTGCAGGCAGGTGCCGTGGGTGGGCATGCATTATGGAATGTGCATGTCCATCCACGGCACCTGAAAGCTGGCTGAAGAATTCTGGGAGTTGAAGTCTACAAGTCTACAAGTTGCCAAAGTTGGAGACCCCTGCTCTAGAGGAAAGGAAAGCAACTTTATCAGCAACCTATTCACAAAAAACTATTTTACTTCTATGTCTAATGAAGCACATGAACATCAGTGTGTCTGTAAACATACATCAAACAACTTTATTTTTAATAGATCATTTATTTTTATTTTTTAAAAGAAAGTACTATGGACATGTGCAGACCCTGAGTCTGGAATGCTATGGTTACCATACCTGGGCTGCAGAAAAAAAAAATCATACTTAAATTTTTTGTATATCTAGTGGTCATTCATACTTTTGAAACCCAGATTTGTAATCTTATGATGGCCTTGATGAATGCCTGTTAGAAAACACAGCAGAGGTAGTTACAGGTTTACACAAAATTGGGCATATTGATATATCAATTTTTCTTCACTTACTTTTAGGTCCAGCTTCAGATTCTTTTTCTAGCCTGACTGTTGTATTTGTCTGGTTATTAGGGCTCTGAGAACGCTGGTCTGTAATGAAGAAGGCCAACGAATGTGTGTTAATCATAAGCAAAACCAAATCTAACTTTGTGTTTCTTTCGAATGGAAGAATTCAGCGGAGTCTCCATCCATACATTATCATGTCCCTTACATGAAGTCAATGCAGAATGGCAGGATAATCCTACAGTATTTTAAAACTAACCAACATAACTAATTTTTATCGCACTTGCAAAAAGCAGAAAGTGGGAAGGTTCTATGAAACAATTAAGGCTTGATTAATTACTGCATTAATCGATTAACTTCATGATTGATTATCGCTATCTTCACTGCATCCATGTTCTCACATTCTTAAGTGTATATTTTACAATTTCCAGGTACACACTCCATGACATTAATAGATGCTGTCACTACCATAAAACTCAGCAGTTTAGACCCATCTCGTGGCAATTACTTTAGATGTTCAGTAGGCTGAAGTGAGTGATTACAAAAAGCCTTGGAACTGTTAGATAAAATAAATTATATATAGTCCATTGCAGGGATATCAAACTGGATTTCCTTCGAGGGTCAAATCAGCATTGTAGTTCTCCTCTGTGGGCTGATGGGGGGTGGGGAGATGGGATGGATGCCTCCTGCAGCAACCTGCCGGCCAAAATGGGGCATGGGATGGCTTGTGAGGCCCCTCCGTGCCCCGTTTTCAGCCTGGACAGCTTCCTGCAGCACTTTGCCAGCCAAAATGGGGCGCCAGGGAGGGGACAGGCAGCCCCTCACACCCTGTTTCGGTTGCCTGTACGGTCCTTTTCTATTTCCAGGCCGGCCTCATGGGCCAGATTTAAGCACTGCATGGGTTGGCCTTGAGTTTGACACCCCTGGTCCAGAGGCTTAGGGTGTAGATGGCTAACAATGCCTTCAGCATAACCAGTGGTGAAATCCAATTTTTTTTACTACTGGTTCTGTGAGCGTGGCTTGGTGGGCGTGGCTTGGTAGGCATGGCAAGGGAAAGATACTGCAAAATCTCCATTCCCACCCCACTCCAGGGGAAGGATACTGCAAAATCCCCATTCCCTCCCCACTCCTGGGGGAAGGATATTGCAAAAATCTCCATTCCCACCCCACTCTGGGGCCAGTCAGAGGTGGTATTTGCCGGTTCTCCGAACTACTCAAAATTTCCGCTACTGATTCTCCAGAACCTGTCAGAATCTGCTGGATTTCGCCCCTGAGCATAACCCTTCTTTCAAAAATGCTAGCCCTTCAGCAGTTACTAGTTTTCTTATGGAGAACATTCAAATCAGCAATGTTGCTCTCCAGTCTGTATTAACGCAACCAGTAGAACCATCTATTTTCAAACGCCTTTCACAATCAATCAATCAGTTTAGAGCTCTGTCAAAAGCAATCTGTTCACCCCAAATCTTTTTATATGGGAGGGATAAACCAAGAGAAAGAGAAAAAGAGAGTGAAAAAAACGATATATACTATCTTTAAGTTAGAAAATAGTAAAAAGAATGGGTAGTTGACCCCCCCTTTTAGGTCTGCCCCATCAACCTGTGATTTCAAAGGGCTCTCAGTAGAAGCAAGGTTGCCCATTCTTGAATTAAGAGCCACGTACTGAGAGGATGGAGCCGATCCCTCAAGAGAACTTCTCTAAAACTTCTAGGACTTGCCTTACTGAAAGATGACCTTTACTTTTAAAATAAAAAGGAGTGGGGGCAGCCAGGCCACCCCATAACCGAGTGATGGCAACTGTTCTCTGAAAAATATTGATACCCACTTTAATAAAGTTTTCCCCAGCCTGGTACTTTCAGATATATTTGACCACCACTCCCATTATTTCCCACAAGTATTGCTGCTATAACAAAGCCTTCTGTTAGCTTTCCCTACATGTTGTTCTTTTTCTGTGCTCCATTTTCAGCTCCTTCAGGAGGCAGAGCGCAATAACAATAATATGATTTTTCTGTGAAGAATTCCCACAGCCATCCTGGTTTCCCTTTTGATCAGCAACAATTAAAAAAAAAACCATGAGAATACCTGTGCTCAAGTCAATTGAAAGGAGTTGAAACAGTAATAAGGTAATACGGAAGAGGCAAATGCGGTAGTCATATAATTGTTTAATAGATCTGTTTTTGAGATGTGATTGAGATTAGGGAATGGGGGTGGGGAGAGCCTCACCTAAAATTGCTGGACCCAAGCTGGATGCTGAAGTCACAGGAATCTTTGTTGATGATTCGGTTGTGCCTGCTGTTACTTTGATAAGATAAATGACAGTGTGTTATCTGCTGTTCTCAAAACATATTTGTCAAAGGAATAATCAGTATGCAAGTATGGAAATCAAAGCTCTTTTCACAACATCCTCAGGTCCCAGCAAAACAAATAAAGAAAGGAAGAATAAAGAGATTGAGAGAGAGGAGAAAACAGAAAGCTATGATTGGGCTGAGTTAATGAGATCCTAAAATGAAACAAAACAATTGAGAAATAATGATAATGGCAGCGTCCGAAGCAGTATGAAGAGTTGCCTTATTGGTGACTCAGCATGTAAATATAATAAATAAAAATGAATAAAATAAATATGGACTTTGTGATAGCAAAGATGCTTTGCAGGATAAAAACGATAAAATTAGGCTTAGGTATACTGACTTTTCTTATCTCACACGTTTAATTGTTCTGGTTTGTTCTGGTTTTATCCCTTTCTGTGCTTCAAATAACATTTGCCCACTGTGAAAGGAAATAACAGGATGGGTAGGCAGGTATGGTCCCAGCCTTTTAAATTGACTTACTCCCTTGAATCATTATAAAATTCAATCACTTTGACCAGAATCTGAATATTAGTTGCTATACTCTCAAAAGGGCCAAGTGCCTTTGAAATATTTGAAGCTGCTTTCTTTGAGTTGATGCTCTTCAGAATGTTGAACATTGACTGTCATGTTGGCTAAGAACTATGGGAAATGAAGTTCAAAAGTTTAAAGAAGACTGTTTTAATAGGTATCACAATGACTATTTTAAGAAAAAAGGACCCTTTGACATTTTTACTGAAACAGATAATGCAGTGATGTCTTTTCAGAATTTCTTCATGAATGATGACTGTTACAATATTTTAAGATAAATTAAAACCATCTAAAAGCATTATGCAACTCCATAATCAATGTTTCTGTCTTGAGATGAGTTGTTGTTGTTGTTGTTAGTTGCAAAGTCATGGCCAACCCATTGCCACCCCATGGACAACTTTCCTCCAGGCCTTCCTGTCCTCTACCATCCTCTGGAGTCCATGTAAGCTCATGCCTACTGCTTGGGTGACTCCAGCCAGCCACCTCATTCTCTGTCGCCACCTTCTTCTTTTGCCCTCAATCTTTCCCAGTGTTCTTTTCCAGTGAGTCTTTCCTTCTCATTAAGTGGCCAAAGTATTTCAGTTTCATCTTCAGGATCTGGCCTTCTAAAGAGCAGTCAGGGTTGATCCTCTAGGACTGACTGGTTTGATCGCCTTGCAGTCCAAGGGACTCACAGGAATTTTCTCCAGCACCATAGTTCAAAGGCCTCAATTCTTTGACACTCAGCCTTCCTTATGGTCCAACTTTCACAACCATACATTGCAACTGGGAAAATCATAGCCTTGACTATACACACTTTTGTTGGCAGGGTGATGTCTCTGCTTTTTAGTATGCTGTCTAAATTTGCCGTAGCTTTTCTCCCCAGGAGCAAGCAACTTTTAATTTCTTGGCTGCGGTCCCCATGTGCGGTGATGAGATGAGTTACAGCAATATAAATAATATTGCTGAAAATATCGGGACATTTTTTTTTCTTTTTCTTTGGAAAAGCTCCAGCTTAGATTAGTTGAACCAAGGACCAATTAGCATGCCTGTAATATCACCCTCATATTTCCTGCTTAGCTGCTACTCTAATTTTACAATTTTTTAATTTTTTTTGTTTTAAAAAAATAATTTGTAAAAATAGATGGATGTGCTTGTAAATAAACATACATGTTAAACTTTAGATTTTGCTTATTGTCTCAAAATGTCTGTAACATTTTGTGGATTATTTATATATAAACTGTCCCATCAAGGTGTTCCTCCCAGTAACGGGAAGGAGAGTGGCATTATATATGGAAGTGGCTTATGAGGTTATGGAGCTTTCTTTGTAATTATAACAAAGCAATAACTATTGTAATTGAAATGAATAGAAAAGCTGTTAAATCATCTTCATAGGGTGCATTTGTTTTGTGATTTTTTTTTCCATACTTTTTTTAAATTTCTGGAACAGGGATGATTTCTTGTAAAGAAAAGACATCTCCACGGCAATCTTTCTGCAGCTAGAAATGTTATACATGTTGGATTTAATGCTGTAAGACTGGGTTGTAAAAATCAGGATAACCACTAAATAGATGAAAATTAGTATAAATAATATTGCAGGGTTTTTTTTTTAATAAAAAAAGATGTATTGATATGTAAATCTGTCTTCACTTACTTTTAGGTCTGGCTTCAGTGATGGTTTCTAATCTGTCTGTTGTCCAGATGTGAGGGGTCTGAGAGCTTTGGTCTGTAATGAAGAAGGCCAATGAATGCATGTTCTAGGCCAAGGGTGACAAACCCATGGCCCGTGGGCCAGATGCGTCACATGTTGGCCACGCCCACCCCTGTTTTAGCAAAGAGGAAAAAAGTCACGATATGTCACATGACAATGTGATACCATGAGTTTGACACCCCTGTTCTAGGCAAATAGCATTGCAAGGCAAGCAACATCTTAAAACTGAAGTAGGCTTAAGCAGAGTGCCATCCATATCTTTAGCATTAGCCCACAATACCTCCTAGCAAAATCCACTAGAGACCTCATTTTGGGTTCCTGAAATAAATATTTCAGATTCTAACACATAAGTAGTGTGTGCACAACACGTTTAAGTCAGTGGTGGGATTCAGATTTTTTTACTACCGATTCTGTAGGCGTGGCTTTGTGGGTGTGGCATGGCTTGGTGAGTGTGGCTTGGTGGGCGTGGCAGGGGAAGGATACTGTAAAATCTCCATTCCCTCCCCACTCCAGGGGAAGGTTACTGCAAAATCCCCATTTCCTCCCGATCAGCTGGGACTTGGGAGGCAGAGAAGAGATGGGACGGGGCCAGTCAGAGGTGGTATTTACCAGTTCTCCAAACTACTCAAAATTTCCACTACCGGTTCTCCAGAATTGGTCAGAACCTGCTGAAACCCACCTCTTAGTCTAGTCTACTAGACTAAGTAGACTAAGGAGGGAATTTGCTTGTTAAATCCATCCACTGACACAACAGCATTAGAATGAGAAATTTAACTCCAAACAGCCTGGAGTTATTTTAGATTAAGTTGATTGAATAAGGAATAGTTCATTAACACTGTATTTAACTCTTTTTTTAATTTAGAAAAAAGAAGATAGCTAGCCATTAGGCTGTCCTGCTTTTCAGCAGTTGTCTACTTATGGCACATCAGTGTAAATACTTACCAGGGACACTTGAAGACATTTCCAAACCAATCATGTGAATATCACCATACTTTGTTTACTTTAATAAAAATGTGGATTTAGTTGCCCATCAAAATTTTTGAGGTCAGAGCTTTCAAACCTATGTCAATTACTCTGTCAATGGCCCTGTGGCAACTTCTCCAACACTGCAAAAATCGGGAAATGTGGCATTATTATCTGTTTCCATTTCAGAAGTACTGTATTGCAAAAAATAAATTAGAGAGTGCTGCTGTATCATATTCAGAAATGCAAAACTGTTTGCCTTCATTAGAATCAGGAATTTCCTAGGGATTATCCTTCTGCACTTGTAAGCAGGAATGCATAATGAATCATTTTAAGAAGACTAAATAGCACTCAAAGGAAATAATTTGCAAACATAGTTTCCCTATTATTGTTACCCTGTTTTTTTTTTTTACAGCAGATACTTTTCTTTTTTTAAAAAATAGGAAAGTATAACTTAAACTAACTCTAAAGGACTGGTGGACTTCTCTCATAGTTTTAGGTGTCTTCCAAAACCTCATCACTCCTTTTGGATTTTGAGAAAAGGCTTGTAGGAAGAAAACAGAAAGTGCAGTAGAATAACAAGGGAATACAAAGGGTTTTTTTGTATGACAAAAAGGTTAAGCATTTTTCTCACTGAGAAAAAGATGATGCTAACGATATTTCAGCTGTAATTGTTCTGTGCTCACTTGAACTTGCTGTCATTTTATGAATGGGTGGCATTAATATTTTTGAGATCCTTCAAATGATCCTGAGCACCAGAAAATTTGAAAATGATTGATATAAAGAAAATAAGAATTGAATGAAAGGGATGAATTACAATATTAACCACAAGATAGAAATGTTTTTCAGCAGACTATTTTTCATCCTCAAAGCCATAATGGAATGCCTTTCTTAAAAAAAAAAAAAACATTACTAAATTTTCCATCAGTTAAGTAACAAATAGCATGCATGTTTTAAAACGCACTTAGACATCTATTTCATGGATTTTCTTAATTTGCAGTGGAAGCCTCTTCATTTAATGGATATCTTCCCCAAATACCTGTATGCAAACAGAGCTTTGATTGTGCAAGGCTTGGCGGTTTTAAAATAATATCTGGTGTTTTCTTGTTTTTGACTTTGTTTTATGTTAAATTCTGAAATCTGATAAAAAAGTGGGGTACAAAAATGATCCCAGCTAATAAATATTTCATTTCTATCCTGTAAATTACAGTGAAATGTAGGAGAAAAATAATTTAATCTGTTTTTTTTTAAAAAAATGCAAAGTAATTCTTAGTAATAGATGAATTGTAACTTTATTATTCTTTACAATTACAACCAAATGAACCTCCCAACCAGAGGTGGGTTCTAAATTTTTTTACTATCGGTTCTGTGGGCGTGGCTTATTTTGTGGGCATGGCTTGATGGTCATGTGACAATTCTTTAGGATTTAGCAGAGGTACTGGTCTACCAGGCTTTTAACTGCTTGCAGAGCTATATTGATCTACCCATTTATTTTTTGCAGGCACTGGTCTACCCATTTTATTTGGCAGAACCGGTTCGGTGACATCATATCGTCACCGCTACCAGCTCGGGAGAACCGGGTCGAACCGGGAGGAACCCACCACTGCTCCCAACCTAAACAATGCTACAAACACTGGGAAAAATGCATAGAACAGTGTGCACGTGAGAAAGAAAACATGTACCCATTAAGAAAATAGCTTCCCATTGTTCAGTAGATTCCATATAAAGGTTTGATATGTAAGAGAATTTTCAAAGGTTTGTCAGAGAGTTAAAAAGCACTTACAAACCAAACAAAAGCAATTATTGTTGGCTGCGATCTCAGCTTATGGACCAAAGTAGAAAAGTTGTACTTGAAAATGAAAATGTTGTGGAAAACAAAACAGATGCATCTATCTTGAGATGAATATAAAACTGATGAGATTCGTGTCAGAGGCTCCCAAGGAATCCCAAGGGTGCTATTTGTAACTCAATTTAAGAAAGGGATAAATGCTCCTGGAAATCTTTTCTCTCTTTCTCCATCCAGCATAATGGGGACAGTTCTTTGATATTTCTAGACCAAATCATTTTCTTTTTTTCCAATAGCATTGGCATTATATATGCCCAAGCAATTACTACTAGGAGTTTAAGGCTGCAATCTCATCTGCAGACACAGAGCAACATATATACACAAAACATATATTTTGTGTATAACTGTCTCTGTCCCCAGAGCACTTTCCAAGGTAATGTAATTAATACGAGGGAGGAATTATTATATTTGTGGAAGTAATCATATTAACTGAATTTAATTGCATTTACTGGTTAAATCCATGTAAATTTATTTTTTCTTTTGATATTTTAGGGAGTGCTCAATCTCAATTGAAGGAGAAATGGAGTTCTCAGTCCAGAAAGATATGTACCCTTCCTCTGGATATTTTGTTTTGCTAGGAGTAAATCCAATTCACAAAATCAAAATTAATTTTGAGGAATCATGCATGGGACTAAAGATGCATGGTGGTCCCTGTGGTTAGGACATTGGGTTGGAGGTTAGCAAGCCTGTGTTTGAGATCCCAGTGCTACTGTGAGACTGGGTGAACTCCCGTCCCTTGCTCCAGCTTGTGCTGGGGACATAAAAGGACTCCCCAAATGGGCATCACCTGGACAATGGTGATGCCACCAGCTAATCCTTTCAACCTGGAAGTGCCTCAGTGCTTCTGACATGACTGCCATGTGGTGCATGAGACTTGAGTGTTAACTTACAGCACACTATTCTAACTTACTTGTAACTCAAGAACACAAGTTTCTTTTTTAAGTAGGTCTCTGCTGTAACATACTGTCCAGAAAATGTTTAGATATGAATTAAGACAGAAATAAAATATTAGAAGTATTCTAAATAATACACAAAGCTAAGACCTTACCTTTAATGGTAGTAGTTGCAATTGTGCTCATTGAAGTGGCACCTTTGAAAGGGTAAGACAGAAAATGCACAGTAAGTTTAATGCTTCTTAGATAAAACGATTATATATCTTTTTGAAAAAGGTAATACATTATTTTAAATTAAGCATACTTGAAAGCAAGTTTTAAATTTACTATTCTGGGCTTCCGTCTAACAGTCACTGACATTGCCTTTTTGTGCTGTTGTATCAATACGTGAAAGTTCTCTAGCTTCATTATTTTAATACGCACTCTTTTTCCTCTGCTGCAGAACAAATTATTTCCTTTCCTTCAAACGTGGATACTTTTATTGCTCCTTGGAATTACTGTTCTTTTCAGTGCAAAACAGCCTTAGGAGGATGCAGTCCTGAGCAAAGGAGTGGGGTAGGAGGTTTTAAGATTATTCCCACTGCTTATTCCCAGTTCCCCTGCATGATAAAATTCCAGATGGAAGTTAATAAAAGTTAGGCATCAGCCCAGTAAATTTCACTGAATCCAATGGGTTTTTCTGAGAATTGTCACTAAAAATGGCTTGTTCATAGGCTTTGAGTGCCTGATAATGAACAGAAAAATGGTGAGGGGATATCCTATTTCTTCTTTCTGAAAGACAGCAACATTCTGCCCTTTCCATTTGCACATATTTTTTTTTAAATTTGATTTATATGCCGCCCTTCTCCGGAGACTCAGGGCGGCTTACAATGCGTTAAGCAATAGCCTTCATACTTTTGTATATTTATACAAAGTCAGCTTATTGCCCTCACAAACTGGGTCCTCATTTCACCTACCTTAGAAAGGATGGAAGGCTGAGTCGACCTTGAGCCTGGTAAGATTCGAACCTGCAGAAATTGCAGGCAGCTGTGTTAATTACAGGGTGCATTAAACCACTGTACTACCAAGGCTCTTTTGCCCAGACTACCAGATGGATCTTATCTATCTATCTATCTATCTATCTATCTATCTATCTATCTATCTATCTATCTATCATCTATCTATCTATCTATCTATCTATCTATCTATCTATCTATCTATCTATCTATCTATTGGTTCGATTTATATGCCACCCTTTTTCCGGAGACTCAGGGCGGCTTACATTGTGTTAAGCAATAGCCTTCATACTTTTGTATATACCTGCTTATTAGGGCTTTCAGCCCGCCCTAAGCGGTGTTCTTTTTTATACAAAGTCAGCTTATTGCCTCCACAATCCGGGTCCTCATTTTACCTACCTCGAAAGGATGGAAGGCTGAGTCAACCTTGAGCCTGGTGAGATTTGAACTTGCAGTAATTGCAGGCAGCTGGTGCTATTTAATAGCACTTTAGTCTGCTGCGCCACCAAGGCTCTTATTCCAAACCTAGCAGAAGTGTCGGCAGCATGGAGGGCTTTTAAAAAAAATGAAACCTTCTTGTGATGCATATAAAAATGGCAGGGTTTTGATCAGGTGTTGGGGCAGTGGTGGGATTCAATTTTTTTTTACTACCGGTTCTGTGGGTGTGACTTGGTGGGCATGGCATGGCTTGGTGGGTGTGGCTTGGTGGGCATGGCAGGGAAAGGCTACTGTAAAATCTCCATTCCCACCCCACTCCAGGGGAAGGATACTGTAAAATCTCCATTTCCTCCTGATCATCTGGGACTCGGGAGGCAGAGAATAGATGGGGGCAGGGCCAGCCGGAGGTGGTATTTGCCGGTTCTCCAAACTACTCAAAATTTCCGCTACCGGTTCTCCAGAACTGATATAGTACCTCTGTGTTGGGGCCATTTGACATTCTCTTCATGCCACCTTCAGCCTATTATTGTACTTCCCTTTTCCTTTATTCCATGATAGTACCCACTGTGTGGATCTACTATAAAAAAAATATCTTGTAGATATAGGTGTCTTCTACTAAATGGGGTCAGGAAAAAAAATTATAAAATATATGTCTGGTATCGTAAAGCCTATTTATTCTTGCATCCCTACATCAGACTAAAGAACGTAAATTATCATGTCCAAATTATGTTTGGACCCTTTGCTCCCTCGCAGATAGTTATAGTCAGTGGTGGAATTCAAATTTTTTTACTACTGGTTCTGTGGGCGTGGCTTGATGAGTGTAGTGAGGCTTGGTGGGCGTGGCTTGGTGGGCATGGCAGGGGAAGGATACTGCAAAATCTCCATTCCCACCCCACTCCAGGGGAAGGATATTGCAAAATCCCCATTCCCACCCCACTTTGGGGCCAGCCAGAGATGGTATTTGCTGGTTCTCCAAACTACTCAAAATTTCCACTACCGGTTCTCCAGAACCTGTCAGAACCTGCTGAATTTCACCCCTGGTTATAGTTATGAAAACATGGTCCCCACCTCCAAAGTAGAACACTGGACAAGGATGTGGGAAAGCAGAGTTTAAGGATTTTAGCTGTGATCCAATCTTTGCATAAAAGAGAATAATCAACAACAAATTTGAGGCCTGATCGTTCTGATAACATCATTGCCACAGAACAATATTAATTTTTAAAAGATGCTTTCCCTAGCAGCAAATGATTGCCTATCTGTGTTTTGAGCAGAGTGTTAATTTATACTTGAAACAGTATCCAATAACAGAATTTTATAGAAATACAATAAAGAAGCCTTTAATGTAATCAGTGATGGATCAAGACACTGATAAAAACTTTTTAAATATTTTCACTTGCACAACATGTATACATGTATCCTAAATGTAGGATTTCAAGCTGTTGTTTATTCAAGAACTTACTTTTTGCTCCTGAAGTGACTTTTATCGTGGGAGACCCTATAGAAAGCATATTCAATATTAAAGATTACAATTTTATAATGTATTTATAAACTGCCAACCAAGTTGAATAAATAGCCTACAATTTAGCATGCTTTTTTAGTATTAACTGTCTTAATCCTGAATAATAGCAATATAGTTATATTCAGATTCCAAACTATGACATCATTTGAACAAATAATAATAATATATGGATTTTCAGGAAAACAACACTATTGCTAGATGCAGACTTCAGTAAAGATAACACAGAGTTTTCTAAGTTAAATAATATGGTATAAATATAGGAATACCTATATACCTTAAATTGCCTCAAATTGCACGATGGGTAGCAAATGAATTTAATTAATTAATTAAACAAACAAATACATGACTGGAATAAAATATGTGCATCTAAATAACTTAGAACTATTTCTGCTCAAACTAAAGAAATTACCTTAACATTGATCCATTATTAGAAAGTTCCCATGCTGAGTCTCTTGAAATTATATTAAAAAAATCTAATATTGCATATTAATACAGGTGGCTGCATATTGGATAAAGAATTTATAGCAACATAAATATTTTTGTTCTAACAGAAATATCTTCAAATCCCCACATTGACCTATTACATCTGTTTTAAATAGATAAAATAATAAAACATGAAATTTTATTAACCTGTTTATTATTAGCTGGTATTTATTATTGCTAAATTTTTAAAATCATTAGAAAATAGTTCAATAGAAGGTGGTATATGAGGTTTTCGCGGGTGTTTGTATGTAGGTCTTTGGTTATTCGGGTTTTCTCCTGCGTAAAATTGGAAGTGTCTTGGCAATGTTTCGACGAAGTCTCATTCGTCATCTTCAGGCTGGTGTTCTCGGCTTCGTGCTTCTAAGAGCAATGTGTGTTATCGCAGCTGTTTCTTCCTTTTAACTGCCAGTGGGGGTGTGAACTGATTGGGTGGGAGCTTGGCTGTGTTCTGATTGAGTGGAGGTGTGTTCTGATTGGTTGGGGGTTTGGCTGTGCTCTGATTGGATGGGGGGTTGGCTGTGCTCTGATTGGATGGGTGTGTGTTCTGTTTCTACCCCCTCTCACACCACCACCCAGCACAGATCAACTCCGTAGCCAAGACACTCATCTCCAGAACAAAATGCTTAGCTGACGAACAACACCTAAAAACTGAACTACACACTCTCACTAATGTACTAACATCCAATGGATTCCAAAGAAATAAGATCACCAACCTAATCCAAAAAGAAACCCCCCCCTAAAATCCAAGACAGAGAACAAGAAAACGGCAAAGCCCTCCTCCCATACATAAAAGGCGTCACAGACAGAATCAGCAAGATCCTCCACAAACACAACATCAAGACAGCATTCTGCACAAATCGAAAAATATCCACCATCCTAAGAAACCCCAAAGACAAAATTGAGTTAGAAAATCAAGGAGTATATGAAATCCCTTGCACCGCCTGCCCCACCACATACATCGGACAAACCAACAGAAGAATAAGTGCACGCATTGAAGAATACAAGAACTCAGTTAGAAAAGAGGAACCAACTTCTTCCCTGGTCCAACACCTCAAAGCCACAGGACATGATATTGACTTTAAAAAGACCAGAACTATCACCAAAACTGAACACTTTAACAACAGAATAATCAGAGAAGCCATTGAGATAGAAAAACGTCCACACAGCATGAATAAATGAGATGATACCTCCCGCCTGCCAGCCATTTGGAAACCCGCCCTTATTGACAAACGAGTCCCTAACACAAAGAATGACACCAGACCCACACTCACGAGAGCCACACAGGATGTAACCACCACACATCCACGCAGAAAGCAGACTCAAACCCACACTGATGATCAAGCATAACCACGGACCAGAAGCCAGACCACAGCTGCATCATTAGCCACTTTAAACCCCTCCAATCCATACATGAAACAGACTGACACCCAACATGAAGAGATGGCATGGCCACGAACATGAAGCCAAACAACAGCAACACAGCTCACCAGCTCAAATCCCCCTGCTACTCAGACTAACCCAAGCACAACCAAGCCCCCACCTAAACAGAACACACACCCATCCAATCAGAGCACAGCCAGACCCCCATCCAATCAGAGCACAGCCAAACCCCCAACCAATCAGAACACACCTCCACCCAATCAGAACACAGCCAAGCTCCCACCCAATCAGTTCACACCCCCACTGGCAGTTAAAAGGAAGAAACAGCTGCGATAACACACATTGCTCCTAGAAGCACGAAGCCGAGAACACCAGCCTGAAGATGACAAATGAGACTTCGTTGAAACATTGCCAAGACACCTCCAATTTTACGCGGGAGAAAACCCGAATAACCAAAGACCTACACACACACACACACACACACACACGATATATAGAGGTGGGACAGGTATATAATAAATCTGTAAGGAAATTAGTGGCATATTACATTCTCCAGATTATTATGACTTTACTGTTCCATCTGGTTCACAAAAACAGCCCAAATTAATACTAACTGATTTCATGAGAAATGTATTTTGTGACTATGTAATTTACAAACCAATTTGCCTATCATAGCAATATTCCATATATATTCTATATATATATATATATATATTGAGAATATGCCTGTCAAGTCATTTAGTCAAGTAATAATCTGCTTTGTACTGCACTGGTTTTAAGTTAGAATGTTTAAAATTTTAAAAAATGTTGAAGTGTAAACATAACCTTATTTGCATTTTGCAATGTAAAACATTTCATGACTGCCCATTTAAATTCATAAGGATCATTTGGAATTAATTGGAATGAGATAATTTCCCCAATTTGGTGCTCTCCAATGCACTGGATTTTAACTATGCTGGATGGAGAGCATGGAAACTGTAATATAGACTATAAATTCCATGTCCACTCAGCATAGTTAAAATCCTATGCATTATAGACAGACATTATATAGGGGAATACCTAGAATAGACATTATATAGGGGGAGCTAAATGTGAGAAATTAATCTGGTCACAACTGTGCTGACCATCCTGGCTGTTTAGTTTCTTGTAGTAACTAAGTACCAGTTGGCATAGAAGAATTGCTGGATGTCATATCAACAGATTCAGAAGTTTAGCAAATGTGTAAAGAACTCTGCATATAGTAAATACATTACAATGTCAATTCTGGGGAAGGTCTCATCATCCCTGTTAGTGCCTTCTCAGCTTGGAGATGATTTAGATTCTGATGATTCCCCTCCCCCATGAGTTACTAGCTAGACATGAGTTTAATGCTTAGGAAAGGGTTAGAGGTTCTTTAGGTTTAAGGGATGGAGCTAAAAAGGATTTCTTGGCTTTGCCGGATCTTCGAAAATCCTCAGATAGGTGTGGAGCCTGCCTTTTAGGTGTAGCTTTTGCAATGTGCTCTCCAAGGTCCTGAAAGCACTTTGTTGGAAAATTTCCACATGGTTATGTACTAACTCTCAGCCATGCAGAATATTAATGATCAATGGGATCCCAGCACTTACATGTAAATGCATAGCCTAGTGGAGAGTAGTGCCCCAGTAAATTATATAGGCACATGGGATAGCTGCATTGATAAGGGATATCAATAAAAGTTGTTATTCTTCAATTGGCTGTCCTATGCTTTTTGAGATCAAATTAAAGTACTATCTATCTCTATTAAATATTAGAGAAACCTAAAGTTACAGATATGAAGATCTAGTCCACTTTGTTATTTAGGTTAATAGGATTACTTTACAGATTTCAAATTCTTATTGTAGTCTAGATCAGAGGTGTTAAACTCACGGCATCACGGCGGCGTCACGTGCTGTATCGGGACTTTTCCCTTTTGCTAAACTGGGTGTGGGCGTGATGCATCTGGCCCATGGGCTGTGTGGTGTGTGTGATGCATCTGGCCCATGGGCTGGGAGTTTGATAGCCCTGTTCTAGATGTTCTTTGCTGATATTTCGATGCTCCACAGCTTCAGTTACTAAATCGTCTTGTGTAGTTAGATTCACATAAAGACTGCTTCTCCTCTCCCCCAGTTTTATAGGGGGAGAGTAACTGACTTATTATAGCTTATAATCACTATAAGTAATTCCCCAAAATAAAAAGAGTACAAAGAGATCGCAATTGATGCCATTGTTTTCATGATATGGTTACATGTTTTTGCTTACCAGTAGTTCCTTGAGTACTATTGGATGCGGTAACTGTAGAAGATAAAAAAAAAACAACAATCATAAGTTTGAACCAATTCTGTCACATACCTTGTTAGCAATTAAGTAGAAGACACAGGATGAAAACAAAAATTCTGCTGAGCTGTATCTAAATAGTCAGTAATTCTTTTAATGATATAGAACATAATATTTTTAAAAAAACAAGAAACATGCCTAGTCATTTATATCATTAATAAAACAGCTGAAATAATTACAAACTTAATTTCTCCTTTTACCAACCAACCTGCCTTTGATCTTGATTAACCCTGATCCTAATATAACATCAGTCCCATCACCTCTTCATATACTGTAGTTGTTCAAACGCTTTTAAAATTAGCCAGGTGGATTACATCTCTTTATAATTGCACAGTTACTCTGAGCTATGTGAAGCATTTCCATTTATCTCTCAGATGTTCTGCCATTCTGTTTCATTAAAGTCTAGTGCTTCAAAATAACTTCATGGAGTAGCATCATGAGAAGCTGGACCTGATATATCCCCCCCTTTTTTTACACAACTCTAAAAAGTGAAGGAAACATGTCAAGTGCCTCTCTTGTTTGACATTAATGAGAGTTGAACCTAGTTAATACTTGAAAATTCAAGGCTATAGACTAGACTTGAAAGTCCAAATAAACATCTCAGAACAAAGCAATGTCATCTCTACAATCTTGCCAAGAAAATTGCATGGTTGTGTCCAGATAATCACCAGGAACTGAGCTGTACTTGTGGCCATTTTTACTTTCATTGTGTGTGTGTGTGTGTGTGTGTATGTCTATGTATGTATATATATATGGAGAAAATCATATGAATTCTTTTGGTTTGAGCTAAACCTTTGTAAATGCAATACTTTTTAAATAGAAATAAGGAAAAGGGGTGTTTTGTAAGTAGGTACTTATTGCTAACCCTGCATCTGTAAGTAGCAGTAAGTAACATGATTGTACAACTGCAACCAGCTGGGATATATTTTTGAGTTTAGCATTTCCCTCTCAGTAAATATATTTAAATGGCCCTGTGCTTGACATCTTGACTGGGTCAATCTGCTGTGAAAGGCTTAATTATATGACAGATATTATCGTGTGAAAAGCAAATTATAATAGAGAACTCAGGCACAAGAAAAGTCTATTGGCAGTTAAGAAAGATCAGAAAATTTCAGTGCCATGTAAATTGCAATCTTTACTTCAAAACGTGTATTATGACACCAAAGGAGTTGCTTAAGTATCCGGAACAGGCAGAAGTGATTATGCCCCTATAGAAATGCCTTGCTGCTCACAGAATAGATGTTGGGTGGGTGTAGTAGCAAGTTGAATTAATGGGATTTAAGCAGCCAAGTTGAGTGCCTGCTGTGATGGAAGGCCCTTTAAGTGTTTCTCATCCCAGAGTCTTTGTTTATTGTCAATAAATTGAGAGGCAATTCCAATTTGCAATTCAAGCCTTAGATGATTAATCACTCTGATTAACTAATCTGCGCAGCAATCTTATGCACATTTACTGTGAGCTAAATCAGACTGCTTTCAGGCCACACTCAAGTGCAGAGGAGTTCTCTAGTTTCTAAAGTTCATCTCATTTATTCATCTGTGTAGATTCTTGTATGTTATCCTATAGATTCTCATGATGTGTGTTTGTGCTAAGAAGCCTGGTTGTTTATTCAGCTAGAGAGGGATGCACTAACAATAGCAATAGAACTTAGACTTATATACCGATTTACAGTGCTTTACAGCCCTCTCTAAGTGGTTTACAGAGTCAGCATATTGCTCGCAACAATCTGGGTCCTCATTTTACCCACCTTAGAAAGATGGAAGGCTGAATCAACCTTGAGCCTGGTGAGATTTAAACTGTCAAATTTACTAGAGTGCAGTACTGCACTCTAACCAGTAGGGCATGGAGGCAGAGAACCCACTTGAGTTATCAGAACTGTATCTCTGTGCATTAATCCAGGCCCTTGCTCTGGTTGATCTAAAATCAGAACAATGGGGGAGAGTGTTTGGGTAACAAGGTTAAGCTAGTTATTTTCTACTGATTTTGCTCTGCTCTAATATGCCTAAACAACAATAGGCATATTGTTCAAGTAAGATGTTGCTCAAGTAAGTTCTTGCTGAAGAACTATTTTAGAGAAAGAATACTGGCCCCTAAATCAACAAACCCAATCTTGACCTACCCACTTAAAATTTCTAGTCATTTTCATAATCTCTTTATGAACAACTGAGCTCAAGTGGATTTCTTCTGCGTTTTGAATCAGCATAGATTAAGTTCTAGATTTACCTGCCTGTGAGCCTGTGTTCTCAAGTGAGCCATTACTTTCTTCCCTATGCACACATAATAGTGTAGCTCTAAAATGTAACCTAAAACCATGATTAGAGCTATTGTGAAAAATGCTTGCTTGCAAATATGCCGCCACACTATCTTTCTCCAACATAGGCAGTTGAGGCTATTTAGCAGAAAAAAGAGGACTCACCACCATCTCCCAGGTCTTTTTGCAAAGATGAATGGATGCATTTAATGAAAACATGGATTGGGAATGCATTTTCATGTTTTTTTTGTGTAGAGCAGGAGCAAGGGAATCTTTACTCCAAGAGCTGAAGAACATGACCCTTTCTGAATCCTGATTTTCTACTCTCCTATTGGTCAACTGGAGGGAGAACTCATGGCTCAAGGATTGGATCTTTTTGAAGTGTTAGCTCCACTTTATAATGCCTTGGTAAGGCCACACTTGGAATACTGCATTCAGTTTTAGTCACCCTGGTATAAAAAAAAGATGTTGAGACTCTAGAAAAAGTGCAGAGAAGGGCAACAAAGATAATTAGGGGACTGAGGGCTAAAATATATAAAGGACGGTTGCATGAATTGGGTATATCTGATTTAATGAAAAGAAGGACTCGGGATCCTTCTAGCAGTGTTCCAATAACTAAGGAGCTGCAACAAAAAGAGAGGGTCAACTATTCTCCAAAGCACCTAAAGGCAGGACAAGAAGCAATGAATGGAAACTAATCAAGGAGAGAAGCAACCTAGAACTAAGAAGAAATGTCCTAACAGTGAGAACAATTAACCAGTGGAACAGTTTGCCTTCAGACATTGTGGGTGTTGTGGTCCGCCAGCAGCCTGCGGAGCTGGCAGCGGAGTCAGACAGTGAGGAGGCTGGGGAAGAACATGGGCCAGTCCTGGAGTCTGGAGAAGGCCCGGATGAGGGCTCTACGTCGAAGGCAAAGATGGGGCCAGGGCCATCTGGGAGTGATGCACAGATTCCGGAGCCCCAGAGTCGGACAGTAGAGAGGCATAGGAACAGGAGGAGTCTGTTCCTAGTGCACGCATGTGCAGAACTGCCAGAAGGTACGAGCAGCTAAAGCAAAAGGGATGACTTGGGAGTAAGGCCAGAAGATGACTGGCCCCTCCCATAAGGCTTAAAAGAGAAATAAAGGCACTTGGGCCTTATTACAGGAAAGCCACGTTTCTAACTCTGTTTCCAGTCGGCGTCTCGTTTGTTTCTGAACTTCATGGGGCTTTGCCAAGTAAGGCCTTTGGCAGGGTATCAAAGATGATAAAGGTTGGTGATTATCCCGAAGGACTTCTTCCAAAGGACTTGTTTAGCAACTAATTGGAACTCAGCTGGGAATGAACCTAATTCTCAGCTGTTACAATAAAATAGGTTTATTTGGAGCTAATTGTGTCTTGTAATGACTCAGTAAGCCTAGGTCACAACAGTGGGTGCGTCATCACTGGAGGTTTTTAAGAAAAGATTGGAAACCACCCAAACAATATAGGGTTTCCTGCTTGAACAGGGGGTTGGATAGAATGCCTCCAAAGTCCCTGCCAACTCTGGATTATTCCTACCTCTCTCCTTCTTTCTCCTCTCCATCAATTCTTTCAGCAAGAAAGCTAGCATCATTTGCCTATCCACGAATCACTGCATATGCAGCCTACCCTTTCTCCAGATGCTTCTCCTATCATTTTATCCCCACAAGAATCTTGTACAATAGAATGGGACAGTGGTGAAATCCAAATGTTTTTACTACCGGTTCTGTGGGCGTGGCTTGGTGGGCATGGTGTGGCTTGGTGTGCATGGCTTGGTGGGTGTGGCAGGGGAAGGATACTGCAAAATCCCCATTCCCTCCCCACTCTGGGGCCAGCCAGAGGTGGTATTTGCCGGTTCTCCGAACTGCTCAAAATTTCCGCTACTGGTTCTCCAGAACCTGTCAGAACCTGCTGGATTTCACCCCTGGAATGGGCTGAGAGGCGATACCTGATCAAAGTCATTACAAGCTCAGAACTCAAACTTGGCTTCATCCGTTTCACACAGTCTCTCTGCTTCAAAGGTAGCCTATGCGTCCCCAAATGGAGATACATTTCTATGGTTGTTGTGATCATGTGGACCTGAGAACGTTTAGAAATTTGGCAAGTACTGTTATCAGCCACAGTCCTTGTATAGATGAGAAAAATCAAAACAGTATTTTTCATTCCAGGCAGAAAAAAACCCCCAGCTCTTCTGTGTGACAAATGAGGTCGGGGGTTGTTTTCGTATTATTCAGTCTCACTTTGGTATGTAACTAGCTTGACCTTAACATCTAACTTCTACCAGAAGAATGTGATTAAGCTGTGTACTGCCTGAATAGGGTCACTGCAAATGGCTCCCATAATGCAATTATTTTTAGAGTTTCCTGTTATCTTTTATATGCTCATGATACCACACCTAAGCTGCTTTGTTCCTGACATGTTCCTGGAAGAAAACGATTATGTTAGAATCACTGAGCAGCATCAGATTCCCACATGCAGTTTTACAGAGAGAACGTTAATCTTGCTTCTACCCTGGATGTTATTCCACCATGAATAACATCTTTTCCCAAACACATGAAAAGATGAAGAAATGGCTGATGACTAAGACGCATCAGTTTATGGTTTTATGTTCTGAAAGGTTATATCATCCCTAAAAATGCTTGAATAATCTTCTCTCCTTCTCCTTCTCCTTCTCCTTCTCCTTCTCCTTCTCCTTCTCCTTCTCCTCCTC